ACTCGGCGAATACACAATCGGGCAAGGAGCTCTTCGAAGGCAGAGTGCCAGAGTCCGAAGGCAGAGTGCCGGACTCTGACAATGGTGAGAGGCAGGAAGATGCACTGGGTGATTTGCAAAAGCTGTCACAGGCTGGTCGTGCCACTGATCCACGGAAAGAACTCAGCTTGTTGAAAGCCAGCATGGGGGGCTTCAAGTTGGCATACTATCTCATGACAGAAGACCTTTTCGATCACTCCAAGATATTGTACAAAGTGACCGAACCGTTGTGGACATGGTATGGGAAACAAGTAAAAAACGTTAAATCGCCGCAGGATGGTCGAGGTTATGCCGAGTTGATGACAGTGAATGATGCCTGGAAAGCAGACAAACATTTGTTGCAGATTGTCTCCAACCTGCAGAAGACCGAGTTGTGGAAGGAGCATCTGGATACTGATTTACACGAGCCCGCAGAAAAAATCATGATGTTGAGCTTGCATTTGCTGATGAACAGGGTCTGGACTTGCAGTCTTTTTTCACTTCCACCAGATGCCTATGCGGGATTGCTGTCACCTGATGCAGAAATTCGGACGATCACGGCTTTGAAGGCAAAGGGCCATCACACATCACTCTTGAGGTTGGAGTCGACATTGGCACGGTCCACTCCAAGTGTTCATGCCCGGCAACTCTTCACAGACCTGCAAGTTGGAATCAGCCATCCTTCGAGACTTTTTCTGGACACATTGGAGGCACAGGGATATGAAGTGGCGCCTCCGGGGTCAGAAGACATTGTCGTGGATGATGTTGACACAGAGCAGGACGGGGAGATGGAGGATTCTGTGCCTGAAGAAGCAGATGACGGTGCCGGAGTTGGTGACATTTTGTTAGACGGGCAAGAGGGCAGAGTGCCAGCTCAAAGGACTGTAACAATATCGGTACCAGCATGCCCTGCAACCCACCTGCTGAGTGTTCTGGTGCAGACGCTGCCAGACAACAAGATTGTGGAAGATGTGCACAACAAGATTCGTAATGATTCTTTGTTGAACAAAACCCGCAAGCAAACATACTCCACGATTCAAACTGTGATCGAGAATTCAAACGTCTTTGAAAGCCGTTCAATCAGGCATCCGGCAAAAGTCAAACGGGAATATTTTGAAAGGGAGTTTTGGAATGTGGACAGGAAGCGCCAAAAGTTGTGCTTCAGAGGATGTGTCCACAAGCTGCCGTCACAGTATACCGAGATTGTCGGCGACAAGACATGGAACACCCTGTCAGAAGAGACACTCGAACGAGCATCAGCTGCGTGGTCATGGCTAATTCACTACAATGATGCAAGACTGGCATCTCAGCATGTTCCCTTGCGTGCTGGGAAGTTTAGCAGCCTTGCAGCCCCTTTGAAGATCTTGAACCATGTCTTGGATTTGACATGCTATCTCTCTCTTGGGGCAAAAACCTGGGCTGCTCTCATGTGGCCAGTGGTCCAGCATGAGGACCAGTCGACAGGAGAGATATATTTTGTTTTGAAGGCAGAGTGCCCGGATGGTTCCAGCGTCAAGGCCTGCTGGATTCATTTGTATGAGCCCCAGTATTGGGAAGTCATCGAAACAGAGGCAGTCTTCTGGAATGGCTTCATTTGCCTCCGTCGTTGTGCTACAAGCTCAGTGTCACTTCTATCCTATATGTTGCAGCATCCCAAGTGACATGTTTTCATTTAGGATTCTGTCAACTGTCGACCCATACAGTAAATAGTACAATAAACTTATATAAGTTTTGCTGTGCTTGTTTTTGCTGACTCGACTGAGGGAAATGTCACAAGCATGTCGGACTCTCGCAGACTGCCAGAATCTCGCCGAGCATGTGATCTCCCAGACTGGAAACGTAGACGAAAAAAAGCGAAAGGAGCTGCAACGAATGCGCCGTCCAAAGCTCATGAGCCTGATCGCTTCTCATCACCTTCCGGAAGATGAGGATTTCATGCGCAAAATTGAGGCTATGTATTCGACAGCCAAAGATTCAACAGAGGATGAGGATGAGGATGACATTATCATGGGGGACTTTGTTGATGAGCTGGTTCTTGACGACCTGCTTGCTGAGGACAAACAGGAATTTAAAATGGTCTCAGACGCAGTCAGAAAACGCAGAATCAAAAGGGTGCATCAAACCTGGCAGGCCATCAAGACGCAGCAAGCAAAGGCCAAGGCAAAGGGCAAGGCCAAAGCAAAGACCAAAGCAAAGGCCAAGCCACAGGCCAAACGGAAAGCCAAGAGAAAGATTTGTCGCCCACGTATGTTGCCCAGGAAGCAACCCGCGCCTCCTGATGAAAGTGGTCAAGAGGGAGCAGAAGGCAGAGTGCCAGCACCTCCTGCTGAGGTGCCGGTGGAGCCGGAGCCTGATAATCACGTGGAGGCCGCGGAAGGCAGAGTGCCAGCCCCTCCTGCTGAGATGCCGGAGGTGCCTGCTGCAATCCCTGTCCCAGAGCCTGATGATCACGTGGAGCCCGAGGAAGGCAGAGTGCCAGCCCCTCCTGCTGAGATGCCGGAGGTGCCTGCTGCAATCCCTGTCCCAGAGCCTGATGATCACGTGGAGCCCGAGGAAGGCAGAGTGCCAGCCCCTCCTGCTGAGATGCCGGAGGTGCCTGCAGTGCCTATCCCAGCACTCGAGCCACGGGAGGTTGCAGTCCGTGGCCCCCAACATCAGCGGCGGCCGAACCGTGTTGACTACCAAGGGGTATGGACACCTGTTCAATGCCCGGAGTGTCCCAAGATCGCTGGTGAGATGAAGTACGACCCGAATCCTGGTGGCACTGACAAAGCAAAATGGTTTCTCCGAGTTCGTGTGACAGACGGCGGTCTCTTGGAAAGATTCGGAACATTTGTTATAGCTTCGATGTGGTTGCCTGATCTGCTGTGTGTTGTGTCACATTACATGAACCCATGTGTGTCTGGCATTGAAGGCGAGTGGAGCCACCTCGTACCCTATCACTGGGGACGTGTGGCTTCCAAGATGACAGAAGCGCAGGCCAGACAACACGTCATTGACCATAGGCCCTGTTGTGGCCCGACCAGGAGGCCTGGCAACAACTAGAGGATTCATCCTGCGCTGCAAAGAAAAGTTGTGTGTCTGTCTGTGTGCTTGCATTGATGGCAGCGGGTCCTGCTAGATTGGAATGCGTCCGAGAGACTGTGTGTTTCTGCTTGGGGAAGACGGATTGCGAAAGCATGTTCGCATTTTCACACATGTGGAATTTGTCACGTGCAAGCACATGGACAATCATTTCGAGTGCCACAACCCGGAAGCCGCACAAACTAGCACATGTGGTTTGAAGCCGTGCGTGCTTGTGACTGAACAGTAGCCGTCCAGAGCAATGCATTTCGCCCCGATCGAACGAGGAGAGTGTTTCTTCAGAGGCGAGCTCTCCCCAATCTTGATCAAAACCGCTTGCGAAAAATTGGCCAAAGCGCCTGACCAGTGGAAACCAGCTGAGAGATGGAATGAAGTTTATGACGACGTGCCTTGGGAAATCATGGTTCGCTACCTGCGTTACTGGCCACGTATTGGCTCCCGCATTACAAGAGGCCTCAGGCTTCTTCGACGGTACGAAGGCCCCTTCCCGAAGTGTTATCAGGTGGGTGAAGGAGAAGAACCGCTGGAGTTGCCGCGCGTTTCTCTCGTTTGTGATTTTGTTTATGTTTGGAACGACGAAGATGAACAACAACGGCAGTTTGTCCTTCAGATGAAACACCTCTCACTTGTTGCCATCCGTCTCGGTGGTCCGGGGGAACTTCCTGACCTTGATGCTGGAGCAATACCTTTGACCGACCAGCTTTGTGCAAAGTTGGGGTGGCAATAATTAATGGATCTTGAGGCGGGAAGGCAGAGTGCCAGCAGCTGGGAAGGCAGAGTGCCAGACGTTGTCGCGTCACCCAGCTGTACCCTGCTTCGCCTGCACGTGATTCGCTTGACAGTGTGGTCAACGCAGAAAAGCGCAACATCCAGCAGTTCGTAGCCACTTCACGTGATTTGTGCATCCCTAATACTATCAAACCCTAAAACTATGGCACTCTGCCTTCTAGCCCCAAACCCTAAATACTAAAGACCCTGAAACTCTAACCCTAACCCTTTCATTACCCTCAAACCCTAACACTATGGCACTCTGCCTCCTAACCCCAAACCCTAAATATACTAAAGACCCTGAAACTCTAACCCTAACCCTTTCATTACCCTCAAACCCCTAATACTATGGCACTCTGCCTTCTAACCCCAAACCCTAAATACTAAAGACCCTGAAACTCTAACCCTAACCCTTTCATTACCCTCAAACCCTAACACTATGGCACTCTGCCTTCTAACCCCAAACCCTAAATATACTAAAGACCCTGAAACTCTAACCCTAACCCTTTCATTACCCTCAAACCCCTAATACTATGGCACTCTGCCTTCTAACCCCAAACCCTAAATATAATAAAGACCCTGAAACTCTAACCCTAACCCTTTCATTACCCTCAAACCCCTAATACTATGGCACTCTGCCTTCTAACCCCAAACCCTAAAGACCCTGAAACTGTAAACCCTGTGCCAGGTCTTCTTCATCCTCGTCTTCTCGGAAAAAACATTAAAAAATGTAGTTTTTTTTTGTGTGTGTTTTAAAGTTTTTAAAAATTTTTAAAAGTTGTTTAAAGTCTTTAAAAGTCTTTCAAATTATTTTTAAAGTTTGTAAAAGCTTTTAAAAGCGTTTAAAAGTCTTTGAAAGTCTTTTTAAAGCTTTTAAATGTATTTTAATGTTTTTAAAAGTCTTTTAAATATTTTAAAAGCTTTTTAAAGTTTTGAAAAGTCTTTTAAAGTTTGCAAAAGTCTTCTAAAAGTTTCTAAAAGTCTTTTAAAGTCTTCTAAAAGTTTTTAGAATGTTTTTTCTTGCATTTGAAAGTTTTTAAAAGTCTGTAAACGTCTTTAGAAGCCAACTCTGTCGAAGAAGCCCTGTGGATCTAAACCTTGTGGTTCTGGTTCGGTGCAAAGGGTCAATGATGTATTCAGATCCGTCCACGCTGATCACTGACTCACACGAGGTTGACACCGCCTTGGTTGTGGGTAGTCGTGGATCGGCTATCAGAACTGTAGTTTATGGATCTCAGCAAGTGTCCAAGGCGCAGGCCAGCTACAATGTGCAACTCACAGCTGCCTCATCGCCCGCGACTTTCGCGTCCTCCTTCCCTCAGTATGCGACTTTAGACGCGCGAGTCGCTGTGGCGGCGCCAGTCCCATTACCCAGAGTGCGAGTCAACGCAGCTTTCAATCAAGTACTTACAGGGCTGGGTGTGTCAGCACCCAACCCTGTGAACTATTCCTACAATTGGGCACTGGCATGGCGCAACTTTGGGGCGGCGATGGTGGCTCACAATCCTGATTTTTCCGCATCCTGGACTGGGCCTGTGGCTCCTTGCATATACGCAGGTCCGCTAGGCGCTGCTGTCGCTGATTATCAAGAGAATGCAGCTGACATCGCCGCAGGTTCGGTGCTCTACCTAGAGTTACCCGACGGTAACTCAGGGGGCGACGTTGCGGCCCTGCGTTATTTACTATCAGCACGCCCTCCCATCGCTGTCAGTGTGGATGCATCTTCTGGCACCGGCAATGACAGTGTACCTATACCTGCCAGCGGTGTGGTGCCTGGAGATTGGATTGACAACAGGTTCGGCGCACAAGCTCCTGTGCCAGGAGCAGAATGGCAAGCTAACATTTGCCATTGGCGTGCCGTCAAACCAGTACAGATCAGGGTACTGATCTCTGGCATAGATGGAGGAATGCCTTTTGGACCCGGTGTGGTGCCAGGTGATCTTCAACTGGCCGGATCTGGCTACCCAATTGGAGGGGCAGGTTTCCCAGCCCCATTCAACTTTGCGCCAGCACTTGCCAATGGCAATCTCGTGCGAGGACTAAATTTGCTTGCCCAAATTTGTCCTGACAGAGATGGATGCTTAACTGGCTTCTTGCTGGCCCAAGCACGCATGGCTCACGCTCCGCACTATTCAGCTCACACTTGCAGGGCGCCAACTGCACCAATTGGACCGAATGTGGCGAGTCACCCGCATGTCACGCCCACGGCTTTACTGCAGCATGGACCGGTGACAATACCGGCTTCAGCCTTGCTCACGAGCGTGTTTCAAGGCGCATGGTCGATTGGCGAGCGAGTGTCTTCAACACTGCAGGCCATTTCGATTCTGACATCGGGTGAACATGACCATAAGGCCATATTCTACAATGCGGGCACTTGGAGTCTCATGCTTCAGTCAAGCCTCGCGGCTGGCCTTCGGAACCTCAACTTCTCACCAAACGCATTGGTCAGCGGCAATCCATGGTTCGTGGATGCGGCCGGCTTGAACGACCCACGTGGGAGATTTGGGGTCATCTGGAAGTCAAGAGCTTTGAGAATCACTCCTCTGAGCAATGTGGTCAGCTATCATGCTGCGAACCTTTTCGGATTGGAGGTGCCGAGATCATTGGCTCTGACAATGAACTGGAACTGCGAAGCAGTGGCAACGCCGGGTTTGAATCCAGGCGAATACGGACCCGGTCCATTCGCTGGCCTGCCAGGGTGGCTTGGTTATGAGCCAGTCCCTGCACTACAAATCTCACCGCGCTTCAGGCCCAAGCGCAATCTGCCAGGCCAGCTCACATCAGAAGCAAATGCCGTGCGAGAAGTTGGGCAATACATGGTGTCCATGGATCGAGGACTGCTGGTGTTCGAAGGAGCTAGCAAAAGCTACCGTGCAGATGCCGGCCCAGTTCTTGTGCCACCGGAGAAAAGAGGGCATGCGCTGGGTTTGCTGACTCACACTCCAGGCCCAGGAGTGTGGGAGAACAGCGGTCAGCTTGTACCTCACGTCTCGGTGCTCACATGCCGAAGATGCCCTGGGGAGAAATTCTAGCACTTCGTCTACCACGTTTTCTTCCACATCGAGCTGGTCTTCGTCTACTACGTCTTCTTCCACAATGAGATGGTCTCCGTCCTCAAGTTGGTCTATTTCTTCGAGGGTGACTTCCACAATGAGCTGGTCTTCCTCTTCGAGCTGGTCTACACCATCGGGGGTGCCTCCCAATGCCGATATTCAACGACCAGTGGTGATGGAGGAGGAGGCAGATGGGGATTCGGATGATGAAGTATAAGTACACCTGATGCAAATGACCAACACTGAGGAAGCCGATCTCCGACAACTTCGAATGGCGGAGACAGAGTTACAACGCCTTGAGCAGCTCCTATCCGGACTTGCAGACCATCAAGAGTCGGGTCGTGGACCCGAGGCAAGGTGGACACTGGCGTGTGTGATCCGCCGGGCATACCATGTGCAGGACATGCTCGAGATGATGGTACGAGTTCTACAACGTCGTCTCCAACCTCAAGGGTATTGGCCAATAGTACGAGTACCACGTGGTCGAGCACGAGCACAACAGATGTACAGTTGGGCGAGACAGGTTGGGATGGTATTGCAGCATCGTGTCGAGATATGCATGCAGCTGCCGCTGGACTGCAATGACTTCGAGGAGCCGGACCAACTTCAACCTGTCCCCTCTTCCTCTGAAGTGCTGGACTCTGGCTCTACAAACACGCACCCATCAAGCCGGGCATCTTCGTCGCGAGGTCCAAGGAGTCGAAGCCCGACAAGGACTCATGATGGACGTGCACCATCATCGGTGTCAGTACGAAGCGAGTCAGATGAGGTGCAGTCCGAAAATGGCACAAGTGCGGTCCTCTTGGCGCCGCAGGAGCTTCTGGGCATCTGGAGAGAACCACGTGAGGGAGAAGATGAAGGATATGTGGGTGGTGGTGACTCTGGGGCCACAGCTAGTGGACATGGGCCTACGAATGGTGGGACGTCTACGACACCATCCAGTGGACATAGCTCAGGGATGACCTCGGGGACATTGCCAGCCATTGCAGAAACTGATGAATTAAGCCATGTGCAGATTGTACAATTCCATGTACGAGGACGGGGCTCATCGACTACGACTACAACTTCATGGTGGATGGTACGACTACAACCTCATGGTGGATGGAGTGGCATTGTGGACCAGGTGACAATACATCTACGAGGACGACAACGACCACATCGACGAGAACGCCGGCAGAAGAAGTACGTGACATGGTCGACGAACAGCTCGTACAAGGACGCTTGGCGGATACGCGGGAGGTTATCCAGAGACTGCTGGCACGTCTTCGGCGACTACGACGACTACAAGCATTGGTGGAGGCTGCTCTTGAAGAAAGTCTGCAATGGATCCCAGTATCTCTTCGTACTCGGCCGTGGAATGCTCGTCTTCAAGAATCGCAGATCTGGGCGACAATTCTTCGGACATCAGGAGCTGCTGATTTGGCTGCAAGCTCAGAAGATGAAGTATCAATGGGCTCTGGGGCCCTGGATGACTTTGCGCATGTACTACTTCAACCCAACCTTCCTGCTCCCCCAGAGATGCAGACAATGATGCCACATATCTCGAGCTCTACGTGGGGAGCCCTTCGTAGACGACTTTGGCGACAGCATGTTGCAGGATTTGGTCGTGCTCTTCACCCTTCAATCCCTCGATCGTCTACACGGTTGTATATGGTTCAGACGGACGATAGTGTGGCAGTGGATGTCACTGGGCTGGAAGCGCTTGTGCCGGCAAATTCGTCTCAACCACTGGCCCTGAACGTGGCGATGTCGAGGCGACGTGTTCATCGTCCTCGCCCTCCTCCTCGTCATCGTGCTCCAGGCGAACCTCATCGGCGTCGGCATGATCTGCATCGCCCTGAACCTCCTCGTCGTGAAGATGGTAGTCGTTGGAGATCCCCTTCGGAAAGGAGAGCAGAGAGACGACTGCGAGAACGAAGCCGTAGTCGGGATGATTCGAATGGGGAATGATGCCCATGTCCACAAGTCACTCCTCCCTCCTCCTGTGTGCTATTAGTCCGGTGACTTTCTGATGGGGCATGGACACAGAATGTCCGTCTTTTCCGTTCTTTTGGAGTGCACGCCTGAATAGGCGGGCTTGCGAGACATCAAAAGTCCGATGCACTTAAAACAAAAACCCTAAGGCCCTGAACCCTCCTAAACCCTTAAACCCATAAGCCCTGAACCCTAAACCCTCCTAAGCCCTTGAACCCTTAAGCCCTGAACCCTAAACCCCCCTAAGCCAGGTGGACGTGGGCAGCAAAGGGCCCTAAACCCTCCTTAAACCCTTAAGCCCTGAACCCTAAACCCCCTAAGCCAGGTGGACGTGGGCAACAAAGGGCAAGCATCTGGAGTTGATCTGCAGGGTCAGGCTGCCCTGGAGACGCGCCGGCATGGATTTTCGATTCGGGCTTTGGAGGCTTTGGAGGCTTTAGGGTTTAGGGGTTTAGTTAGGGGTTTAGGGTTTTTTGGGGGTTTAAGAGTTTAGGTTTTAGGTTCTTTAGGGGTTTAGGGGGTTTAGGGGTTTGGGGGTTCTTAGGGGTTTAGGGTTTAGGGGTTTAGGGTTCGGGCTTCGTAGGGGTGTTTTGCAATGTAGGCGCCTGGCTTAGGGAGCATGCAGGAGTAGTGGCAGGAAGTATCCAGGCCCCTGCATGATAGATTCTGCGGCTGCTTGTGGTAGGGCTTCGGGATCGGCTCAGACGGACCGCAGGGCCTAGGGCTCCCGAACTCAAACTGCAATCCATGACGCCAGGTCCCAAACCCAGAGACTCCAATATCCCTGAATTAAGGAATAGACCTTAAATTATGATAGGATCCCTAGTAATTAGGATTTAAGGTAAATTCCTGAATTAAGGAGTAAGGGATATTGGAGTCTCTGGGAACTCTGCACCCTATGTCATGCCCAAGGCCCGAGCAATCCACCACAAATAACCCCAAACCCTTTGAACCCTCAAGTACAGTAAAGCCCTGACTCACCCATGCTCTAAGCACCAAACGAAAAACCCAAATGCAAAAACCCCCCAAGCAAATGCTATGAAGCCTCAAGGCAGCCCACCAAACCTGGCAGCAAACCCAGGACTTTTGGGGAAACCTTAAACTTGGAACCCTAAACCCCTAAACCCCAAACCCTAAACCCCAAACCCCAAACCCCAAACCCTAAACCCCAAACCCTAAACCCTAAACCCCAAACCCTAAACCCTAAACCCGAAACCCCAAACCCCAAACACCTGGGGACTGGGAACGACGCCAGGAGTCTGGGTCCCGAGGGACTCCGCCAGATGTTGATCTCAACCCTCGAGTCTCTGTACCAGGACCTTCATCTTTTGGGGTTTAGGCTTTGGGCTTTATTTTTTTTTTTTATTTTTTTTTTTTTTTGGGGGGGGGGGGGTTCGGGGCTTTGGGGATTTTTTCGGCTTCTGTTTGAGGGTCTAGCGATTTGGGGCTTCGGTATAGCATTGGCTCTTGGATCTGGGTTTAAGGGTCCAGGGCTTTTTGTGTTCGAGGGCTCAGGTTGAGTTGGGGTTTGTCGCGAAGATCCATTGTTCAACTCTACCCGAGAGAAGAAGTGCCTGGTAGCTCCAAGGAAGAATTGATTCGCTTCTGGATTTCAAAGGAATCAACCCTCAATCCTAAACCCTCATGCTCCAAAGCCCTTCATCCTAAAGCTCCGAGCCTCTCAGCCCCAAGCCTGCACCCTTCAACCTTCAAGCCCTGAGCCTGCAAACTCTGAACCCTAAACCCCAAGCCCTGAAACCACGCCAAAAGACCCCAAGCCCTAAAAGCCTCAGTTCTGGAGTGTGTTCTTGCGACTTACCGAGCGGACAGGATCGCATCAAGCCGATGGCTAACTATATCAAAGGCCGTTTGAAAGAGAGGCCGTGGGTGGGCCTTGCGCAGAGGGGGGTGGGGGGGTGGGGTTCAGGGTTTTTTGCTGCGGTGAGCTTGAGGGTGGAGATAGGATTTCGACATGTTTAACGGGTTTGTGCATGTTTGTGCTTTGGGTTTTAGGACTCAAAGGTCCTCGGCGTGGGAAATGTCATCTGTGCTGGGCTTGTGGAGGATATGCCTCAACGCCACGTGCCCTCTGGTTTCTAGGATTCTAGACCCTAGCTTCCGCTCGCGTGCTCTGCTGCTATGCTCAGGTTGAACTTGCGTTCTCTGGTTTGTTGTAATCTCTGCTACAGTTAGCCCCGAGTCTCCCACATGGGAGTTTCCGAAAATAGGGGACGCGAGTACAATACACTAAATATAGGCTCCCTATAATAGGGACCCCAAAACAAGGCACCCTTCATTTTCGGAGACTCTAAACCCTTATAGAGCCCTTTAAAGGAGCCCTTGTAGCACCCTTTATAGTAACCCTTTAAAGGAACCATAAGGCACCCTTAATTTTCGGAAACTCCCACGTATCAAAGCATAGCTCTTCAGTCCGAAGTAGAGACCCCCCCCCCCCGGGAGGATCCAAAAAGTAGATCCCTTAATGGGGGTTCCTTTTAAGGGTTCCTTTAAGGGCCCCTTTAAGGGATCTATGGGGTTTTAGGGTTAAGGGTTTAGGGTAGATCCCTTAATGGGGGTTCCTTTAAAGTACCTTTAGTAGTATATGGCCCCAAATTAGGGGATCTACTTTCTAGATCCTCCCGGGGGTCTGGGAAGGGAAGGGGTCCTCAAGGCTACGCCACCGGACCCGTCTGTTTTGCACTGCACGTTCGGATCTTTAAGGAGGAGTCCGAATTGAGGGAGAAAGTGGTCCAAGGCTTTCTGAGGGCTGTTATGCTTGAAGTTTCAAGGCTTCAGTGTGTAGTTGTAGGGTTTCAGGGTCAGAGCCACCTTCTCCGGAAACCCGGAGCCCTAAGCCTTGCCGCCGGAGGTCCGTGCCGGATATCATCGTGAAATCCTTCGAGGACTTGTACACACAACACCCGGACCTCTTTGATGCAGGGGGCCCCGGAGATCACAGGAACCGGTTTAGGGTTTAGGGTTTAGGGGGTAGGGTTATAGGGTGTTGCGGCCTTTAAGGGGCTTTATGGGCTTTGCAAGGGTTGCATACGTGTTCCACAATTTGCGTAGGCTAGTGTGCTTGATGACGGCTTTGTGCGGGTTGTTGATGTTCTCGAACAGCTACCTCCTCCGTAAAGGATCCCTCGCCAGCCTCTTGGTAGTTGGTGGACGGGGCACAATGGGCCATGCGCTCCACTACAACTCCGATGAGCAACCTCCTGCAAAAAAAAGATGGCCAGCCAACATGCACTGTCCATGATACATGCCCGGAAGGAGGGCTCGACGCTAGCACCTGGATAGTAGGAGAATTGATGGCGTCAGTTGCAGGAATAGGACGACGGTCATTGCTCCAAGAGGAGGAGTCTTGACAAACCCGCTGCAAACCTTCTCAGCAAACCTGGAAACGCACAATACTGCTGTACTGATTGATTTTACCAACATATCATTGGGAGGAGGAAGTTGATACTGAGAAGAGCAAGTGAACCTCAGGGGTAGCACTGAACCTCTGAAGCGCCTCATGAATTCTGGGAGCTTTGAGATAGTCATTGTACAGCTTCCGACCCCTAGATTATCCCGAACGCTCTCAGGTGCAGAACCCGAAAAGCGGCGAAGAGGTTGGACACCAGCTGCGTTTGGTAGAGTCCAGGTTGATCGAACCATTGGCCGTTGGGTTACTGTGTCACACTGAGGCTGTTGGGTCCACGCATATGTGCATAAACGCATGTAAGTATGTATACAATACATGCCTGCCTGCCTGCCTGCATGCATGTATGGCTGTATGTACGATGCATATGCGTTGATTTACTTTCTTATACATACTTCACAAGGTACTATGTATATGTATGTACATATATATATATATATATATACATGTATACGCACACACATGCACATGCACCTAGACGTACAAATGTACGTACACATACACGTAGACATATATATATATATATATATATATATATACATACACATGCATTGGCATGTATGTATCCCTATCTAAGTACTCCCCATGCATATACAAATACACGTACAAGCACAAAAGTGTATACACATACATACACATCTACATAAACAAGTACATGTACCTCATCTATGTGTATGCATGCATCCAAGCATGCATGTATATATATATATATATATATAGATAGATAGATAGAGAGATAGATAGATAGATATGTGTATGTGTGCAGAAATTACATGTCGGAAAATGCTGGGAAAGCAAGAAGCAATCTTGCGGTCCTTGTGGATTGTTGCTTGTGCTTGGGGGGGGGGGTTCCAAGTTTCGATCTTCTTGTCCTTCGGAACATGAAGTTCAGATACTGTGGGTTTTACGAAGCAAGTTCGGCAGTTTGGCAGCTCCCTCCAAGGTGCCGCAGGTGCCCAACGCAGCGGTCCGGTCCCTTTACATTCTCAACCTGCAGCCGCAACATCCTACAAGCCCTAAACCCTAAATCCTAATCCCTACAGCTCGGCATCAGCCCCGAAGCCGTCGGGAGAGCATAACTCCTGAGGCCCCAAGACCCTGAAGTTCAAAATCTGTAGTCCCAAATCCTACAAGCAAGACCGCTTCGTGGGCAGACGACGATCTACTTCCACAAGCCCCCTGCATGGTTCAAAGGCAGGGGTTTTACGGGTTTTTGAGATTTAGGGGGTGAAAGAGGGATTGGAGGGCGCTTGGAGGAGGATCGGAACGTGTTGTGGTTTAGGCTTAGGATTTTCTCGGGTATCGGGCTTGGGGAGACTAGCTTTTGTTCGGAATGTTTGGGGTCTGCAAACCCGAGAGGCCCTTAGCCTTAGCCCAAGCAGCCGTGCAGAAATTTTTCACGGGGGGGCTGATGAGGAAGGAAGGATAGTGCTGTCTTTGGCTTGAGTCTAGAAGTCTTAGACTTCAGACTTCGCAGGGAGAGCAGTAGGTGATGACTATCACCATCCTCCTCGTGCTGATCCTGCAGCTCCTGTTCCCGCTCGTTGCCTTTTGCATCCTCACCATCATGCCTACTTCATAAAGGGGTCGCGTAGCAACAGTACCATGCTGCTCCCAGAACTGTCTCGTGCATAGCAATAGCGACGGCAGCGGCAGCAGCGGCAGCAGCAACGAGAGTTGAGCAGCGCAAACAAGGCAACAATGCAACGACACCAGCAATAGAAAACAGTGTAATTGCAAAGGGAATGGTCTGGCCTTCCATGGTATGGCATGGCATGTCATGTATGCGTGCGCGTACGTACGCCTACAGGTCGTGCGTCGATCCCCAGAGCCCCCCCGCTGCTTCATTTGTAAAGCAGACACTCCGAAACGCCGAACAGCAAATAAACTCCAAGAGCCCGAAAGCGCCCAAGCCGGAAGGTTGGGTGGACATCGACTCGCCCGATGATCCCTACGACGAGCTGCTGGGCCAGAGGTTTATGGCTTTGGGGCTTTCAGGTTGCAACTTTGGCCTGTCGACCTCCGTCTCCGTCGAGCTTTGAGTTGCGGGTCTTGAGGGTCCAAGCCCTGTAGCCCTGAACTCAATTCCCTTCGATCCGAAACGCTGGAACCTAGATCATGATACAGGGGCCTTAAGAATCACCCATACTACTTTGGGGGGTTCCTCATTATGATTATAGTTTCAGGGGCCCCAAAACCCTGTTCCAATTATTAAGGACCCTTTGAAACAGCAAGGCGACTACCGGAATCACCGTAGCAAACCGGAGGCCCCCGGACTGACTGCATCATGTTCTTCCCGCAGGCTAACTCCCTAAATCTCTCGAACCTCAGAACACGCTTCTCATTCTCTTATTTGCTATGTAGTGCTACTATGAGGTATGACCTGGCATGATACCAGAATGCAGTGTGCATACTGTATGTGTGTATGTATGTGCGTGCATATACATACATAATATATACATGTATTTACATATATATATATATATACACATACACCTGTTTGTGTGCATCCAACAGGCACGTATGTTTACGTGCGCCCAACATGCAGGCCATAGTTTGGTTCCTCGCGTAAGATGGGTGATATATGCTTAGCTATCCGGCATGTCTTACTTTCAGTATGCATTACGCACACAAAGATGATACTAAGCTCCTACACCCCAAACTAAGCTCGCCAAGGACCATGTGGAAGGAGCTTGCAAAGTTCTTGGACGGGGAGCACACCTTCGCGGGAGGTGCTCCGGAAGCTCGGGGTTTTTGGGTTCGAGGGTGCAGATAAAGTTGCTGAAGGCTTGGGGCTTTAGGATTAAAGGCTGCAGGGTGTAAGTATGAGGTTAAGTATCCCCTAGGTTTTGAGGTTTCATGGACCCGACAGATCATGAGTTTCAGGGTTTGCGGCTTTAGCCGATGTCTAGGAATCAAAGGCCTTCTTACTATCCTCTTGGCAAGCTGCTGTTTCGCTCTTTCTGCCTTGACGAGTGCTACAGGAGATCGTTTGCCGCAGAACATGATTTCTACCTGGGTCAACGACCCCTTTGAGCTTTTGGGGTCTTAAGCTTGCGACCCGAAGCATGAAGCACTCAACCAAAGCCCTGACATCCATGGTTGAGTCAGGCCCTTTATTTTGTAACCCGACAATAGGGTTTGTCCAAGGCATGTGCATCATAGAGAGCAAAACCCAAATGCGTGCTCAAGCTTCTAGACACAACGTGGTTACGTCCTGACCCCACCTGCACCGCACGCCTTCAGCTCCCCGGACCGTATCCCACAGCCGGGCCCGAGAGTCTCGAACATGGACTGTGAACTCCTAAAGGTCTTGAAATTTAATGTCTGAAAGACCTAAGTCCAATCCCCAAGTGAGCCTCCAGGACGCTACGGCATGGCTCGGGAGCTCATGCAGCCAGGGACCAAGCTAGTTATGTTCGGTTGTGTAGATTGCAGGGGCGAGGGGTGGGCACAGTCTCGTGGTCGAGGTTTTGTTTGGAAATCCTCAGCAACAATGCTCTGCGCAGTAAGTCATGTCAACAACATATCTTTGAGAGTACAAAGATCCATTTAGGTGCCAAGCAGAGTATATCACCATCAGGATCCTACCTCTTGAGGCCTAGCCTGACTTAGGAAGAGTTTAGGGTTCAAGGCCCGTTTAACCAACACCCCTAAGCCTAAACCCGCATTCAGTGGATGTTGGCTGCTTCAGCGACAGTGTGCTTCAATGCTTACGTGGTTCTGGGATGCGTGCCCTTGCGTTGAAACTTCACATTCTCTGCGATTGAAGTATACTGCTAACTTTTGGATGAAGGCCTCATCCCACACCGTGAGCCCGAGCTCTGCGTCAGTGCCAGTAATGCGAATGTTCAACAACATGCCAAGCCGTGACACTACACCCCTGTTGGCTCCGACAACTTACTTCGTTGAATTCCGTTGTCATGCCCCTGTGGAACAAAGCCGCCCTGGCTTCACAGGCAGTCCAGCCTAACCTTGCTCCAAATCGTTTCCCCGAGATGCCTGAACTCCCCAGAGTCGGAGCTGTCCCAAACTGCCAAATCCGAGTTCGTTTTAGAAACCCTAAATCCTACAGTAGAAGCCCGAAAGTTGGAAACCCAAAAGCCTCAATCCTTAAGAGTGGTATATGGAACCCAGCATCATTTGGCCTTAATCCGCTTTCCAACTTTCCGGGGTCTACTATAAGCACCTACTATAGGGGCCTTAATAATCAGAGTGGGGTTTTGGGACCGACTGTGCTATAATTAAAAACAAGGAACCCCAAATAGTATTGGTAATTATTTAGGCCCTATTCCTTTTTTGTAGTCCTAGGTTCCTTATAAAGTTACCCAATACCAAAAAGAGAGGCCTTTTTATTCTTAGGTTACTGGGTATCCTAGTGTATTAGATAGTTGACCAATTCTTTCGAAGGCGAAACCTCACCTTCCTGGCCAATCACTCGCAGGGCCCTCGGTATGTCTGAAGGGTTTAGGGTTTTTGAGGGGTTTAGGGTTTAGTTTAGGGTTTAGGGTTTGGGGTTCAGGGATCACGCCCTCATCCTGGGGCGGGGAAGGATATTTTTTGCAAGTGAAGGTACCAAGGTAAAAGAGTCTTTTCTGGATTCCGCTGTTATTCTGTTAGGGAGGCGTTCGGGAAGCTGCAGCTTTGTGGTGTTCTAACGAGAAGCCTATTCACAACACTGCTGTCAGTAGTGCACTTTGTCCGATCCTTGGCAAGTCTACCGTAGGGCCAGGTTTGGGTGTTTGGCCTATGTACACTCCCCTTGAAACATATATCGTCACATGCAAGCGGCAACCGTTGGCACGAGGCGGCACTTTATCCTTTTCTGGTTCTCAGGTAGAAGAAAACTAGGCGACTAGACAACTCAAAGACACCAAAGAACCGGTGCTGTTAATTCCCTTCTTCACCGGTGTGGCCGAAATAGCCCCAAGCCCAAGCCCTACCAACCTTCCATGCTGTCATTCCACACTTATACTGGTTGATTCTGAATTCCTGACACTCTAAACCTGAACGAACCGTGAGCCCGAGACAGCCCCTATCCCTGCTGTACATTCCGTATAAAACCACGGGCTGCACGATATTCCCAACACCTCCACCACTTGTCGGCCCTTGTTAGAACGTTTTGGATTTGGCTTTTAGGGTTTTAATGTATATAATGTGCTACACTATACTATACTAATTTAGAACATACCATCATCGTGCAAGCTAGCTCTGTGGAGCTTGCGGGAGCTGTCGTTTACCATTCGCTTAGGTAGTAGGGAAGTAGGTCCAAATCGTGTCCAGGACCTTATGTGGCCTTTTCGCAATGGTTAAGGGGGGGTGGCCCCCCCCCCCCACGCCACCACGCGCATGATTCATTCAGAGCACTAAGGAGGGGGTGCTCCCCCCCACCACATCGTACAAGGGGCCCGCCCCCTCTTCTCCGCCCCCCGCCCCCTGCTACCCTCGCGTGAAAGGTCCGTCTGTTTGCGCAACATTGCGGCTTGCATTTTGCTTTTAAGCGGCCGAGTGCGTCTACGTAGCAGGTTTCAAGTCTGCCGCCTCCGTAATGAGCTAAGCTACAGTACGCTGCCACGAGGACAGTTCGAAGCTGCTCGTAGATGGCCGAGTTAGTGCTTTTGCAGGATGCAGAGACAGCGCATGACAGCGCAGAAAGGGTTGGAGCTGGCCCTGGACGGGCTCAAAAAAGCAAAAATCCGCGACGTTGGACCCTCGCTGGACCTTCGCTTTGAGACGCCTGCCGTGAAGAGGGCCGAGGAACAGGTGAAGGAGGCCGAGAAGGCCCTCACGGCTGCTGAGGAGCAGTGCGACAACGCCGACACCTTTGTTCGTCTGCACCTTGGCTGCCGCCTTGCGGGCAAAACACATGTTTGCTATATCCAACATTATCCGACTCAGGATTACGAAGAAGAACAGCGGCGCCAACTCCTCGGTCCGACAGGTCACCGTGCCTACGACGACAGGGCATTTTGGGATGCCGACGGCAAGGTGACCATGAAGCTGTTTTATATGCACCCAAGGACACTTGAATTGACAGCCTTAAATTCTGATTCTGGCCGCAGACGGGCGCGGCTTGTATGGGAGGGAAGGGCTTCGGCATGAGGCATGATTGCGGATGCTACTTCGCGTCCGCCCTGTGGCAGTACACGAGCAAATACAAGCCGCTGCGCATGCATTGGTTGTGGTACGGGGTCCTCATGCGCACATCCGTGATCTGAAGGTGCGCCGTGGACTGGGATGCCTTTTCCAAGGTGTTCCCAAGCCAATGGGAAAAGGCTGTGGGAGACTTCGGCAGTGCAGCGGCCGTCAAGGCCATGCAAACGCCTTGCTGTGGCATGAACTATGCGCCGTACAAGGACTGCATTTGCAAAGTGGCTTGGGTAGATTTTGACTTTGGGATGTTGGGAGGACGGTCCGGGCATGATGGTCGAGCTCCTCCTCTCCTCCAGTAGCCAGTCTGCCTCAGGCAGCGGCGCTGGAGGGGGGGAGGAGTGGGTCTCGATGCCATCGGAGGTTCTCCCCCGTCAGGTCATGAACCGCCTCGCAGAGGCGAAAGCGGAGTGGCACAAGGCCCACCAACTAACAAGAGCGCGGCCGTGTGGTTTTTCAACGGCGAGGGTCGCATACGATGACTTTGTCCACTCCGGAGTTGTGGGACACCATCCTCAAAAGCCAGGTGCACCCCAGCAACTACAACACGGCTATCATTGAAGGCCTAGACTGCCATTGTGCCCTGGCAGGATAAAGCTTGATTTGTGCCGGCAGGGGTGAAAACTCGATGACGGTTGAGGCATCGGCGAATTCCCTCTCGCGGACTTCCGCGCCAATGGGGGAGCGGCCATTACGATTGGGCAATGACTGAAGTGGTTCATGCAGATGGAGGCATGGGCCAACAACACCCTTTCAACTGGCAAGTTCCCCACGCTAACACTGCTCAAAAAGGGTTGCGAAAAATACATTAAAGGGCACCCGAACTGCTGATCGTCATAGGACGTGACGCAGGCCGTCAATCGTCCGCAGGACGCGACGGTGCAGCTAGGCTAGGAAGGGTACATACCATGCGCATATTATGTAGTACCAGCAGATGCTCATCAGATCATTTTTTGCAATCTTGATTGGACATTTCATTGGAGGGGTGATGTTTCGAAGCGTCAATCCTCCACAGGATGCGACGCGGAGAACATCATTTCCTGCCGCATTTCATTGAAGGGGTGATGTTTCGAAGCGTCAATCATCCACAGGATGCGACGCGGAAAACATCATTTCCTGCCACACGGGGCTCGCCACAGCGTCAAACGTCCACAGGACGCGACTGTATTTGGGCCAGTGTCAAGCAGAAGGACGCGTGTATCTTGCAGGTTGAAGGTTTAGGGTTTCGGGTTTAGGGTTTAGGGTTTCATGCAATAAGTCTGTGCTTGCATCCACGCTGCCCAGCATGCATGCAATAACGACCGAGCTCCATCGACCCTCCCTGCTTCTGTGACCTTAGATTTCGCGGCCTTGTCTGAAAGTATACTATAATCTATAATATAACATATAATATTCTATATCAGGTTCGGTATTTAAGATGTCTGGGACAAGCATCCTGCAGCTTGAATCGAAGGCTTGGCGAAGTTTGCCCTCAGCTCAGAGGGTTCGGGAAATTGGGGAGGGTGCAGATCTTGGGCGTTGAGAGTTTCAGGGTGTCGGGTCAAATTCAGGATCTAGCAATCTAGGGCTTGGGTGCCAGGGTTTAGGATGAGGGTTTAGATGAGTGTCACTCTGCTTGTTAGAGCTCGACAGAGGAAGTTGGCTTGGCGTTAGTCACTATCCGTTTGGGGATGTTTGGCTTCTACTAGCAGCAGAAAAAGCCCGTAACCCTAAGTCCTCAAACGGCCCTAAACCTTGCACCCGCACATTCACCCCACCTTACAGTGCCGTTTTATCCGCCTGATACTAACCCTTGTAGTACCTCGTGGAAACACAGGAACCCGTACGGAAAGTCTTCTGACCGTGAGAGTTGGGCACGCCGAGGCCACATCGTCCAGCTGGCGATCCAGCACCGCAGGTGGGCCTTTCTGCGGGGCGTGCGTAATATAGGGGCCTTAATAATATTTAATAATTACCTATACTATTTTGGGGGTTCCTTATTACATCTATATTAAAATGGGCCCCGGAACCTTGTTCTAATTATAAAGGCCCTATATTAGGGTTGCAACAGGTTGATTCCCGTTCAACTTTCTGAGGGGATCCGACCCTGGGAACCCGGATACTTCGAAGCTAGACTGTGGCTAAGCCCCAAAGCAATATATACAACCTAACAGCCCGGCAAACCACTGAAAGTTGTAGCTAGGACATTTTATATTTGCTCTTATTGGGCTTAAGAGGATCTTACCTACTAATATTTGTCAAAGGCTTTAACAGCACTTCCTAGAAGTTGTAATGGACTTCCGAGCCCAAAGCTGCTTAGGGTTCCCGGTTGTTGGGAGCATTTTCTGATAATTTTGCTGAGAGCCCGGAGAGCTCGACAAAAAGGCGCTCGCGAGCTTCTTCAGGAGCTGATTGTTAAGGAAATCGTTGTTTTCGCTGTTTACCATGTATCCCTGCCATTTATAGTGGTACTTGAATCTGGTGTGTACTACCGCCAGGTCATGCCCTAAATCGAGACCCACCGACGCAAACCCAATGCAGTAGGTGGCAAGCCTGCATCCAAACCCTACACGCCACCTCGAAATTGCAGAGTTTCTCGCTCTACGTTCCCGCTCTTTCCCAAACCCTCATCCCTAAGCCCTGATAGCCACTCTGCTGGAAAAGGGGCTATTGCACTTAAAAAATCCCTGATAGCCAAAACCGGCCCAGACCCAAGTCCCGCACAGGCTTATCGTATACCATCGCAAGATGCTGAAGTACGAGCCTTAGATTCCTTCCACTCTGGTTTCCCGTTCTATTGTCGATGTTTGTTGTTCCTTTGGTATATTTTTTTTTGGGGGGGAGGTGGCGGTGGTGAGGGTGGGGTGTGCTGAGGTGTTTTGTGGTTTGGGATTGAGACTCATTGCGCTTCCCTCGCATGTTGGGGTTCGGTCTGTGGGCTCCAGGGCTTCGGGGTTTTGTGGCTTTGGGGCCAGGGTTGTAGGACTTGGTTTTGGGGCTTTGAGGGTTCGGTTTAGGGCCTATAAGGTTCCAGGAAAAATATCACCTTGTAGTCCAAAAGACGATTCTTCTGTAATGCTTTGAGGCCCTTATACTACCGGCCTTGAGCCAAATCTCTAAAGCGCCTGCATACGGCTGAAAAAACTCTGCAAACACTACAATGAGCTGAGACAGACGGTGTACCGCCCACCCCAGCATTCAGAGGGCCCACTCTCAGCAGCACCGCTCCCCGAAGCCCTAAACCCCAACGCGCAAAAAGCCTAAACTCCTGAACCCTGAACCCTGGATTCCTGAAGCCCGCAGGCTGAACAGTGCTTCAAACTTTAGCTCCTATGCAACTGAGGCCTATTCAGACTGTGCTGTGCCAGCTGTCCCCAGATGGAAATGGCCGAGAACTAAGCTGAGTGGTAATAATAAAGATAATAATCGTATTCATAATAACAATAATAACAATAATAACAATAATAATAACAACAATAATAATAATAATACTAATAATAACAACAATAATAACAATAATACTAATAATAACAATAATGACAGTAACAACAAATAATAATAAGAAGAAGAATAGTAATGATGATGGTAATAATAATAATAATAACAATAATAATAACAATAACAATAACAATAATAATAATAAGAATAAGAATAAGAATAAGAATAATAATAATAATAATAATAATAATAATAATAATAATAATAATAATAATAATAATAATAATAATAATAATAATAATAATAATAATAATAATAATAATAATAGGGGCCGATATGATAACACACATGATTCTGGGACTCTTCAGCCTATTTATAGGAAAATATGCTCCAGAACCCTATTCTAAGTGTTAAGGCCCCTGTGGTAGATATAAGGGGGCTTGAAACAAAGAGTAGGGGGTATTGTAGGTTTGCTGGAGCGTAACTATGGTAGGGTTGTAACCAGGGTTTCATAGGGGGTTTATAGTTTATCGAGGCCGTAACAGCTAGAATACCGCATCGTGGGGATACGATTTCCAATTTTTCAGGCCCGCCCGCCTGTATTCTACGTTGCTGTGTTTTGTGCCGTCGTAAGCCCCAGACCAGCCAAAACCGAGAAAGGATGTGCTCTTGATGGCTTAGGAACCCTCGACCCGCAACCCCAACCCCAAATTCCAAACTAAGACTGCAGGCAAGGCTATATAGTTCTAAGTTCTAACCCCTAAAACCCTAAACTCTAGTCTAAACTCCTAAACCCTAAACCCCTAAGCCCTAAACCCCTAAGCACTAAGCCCTAAACCCCTGAACCCTAAACAGGAGATAGAGCAGCGATGGCAAGGCCATTCATTCGTGCAGTGGGAACATCCCTTGGCCTGCAGCCTCGATGCATTCAAGCCAATCTTGAAACCCTTAATGTGGGAACCTGATTAAGAAACCCTGGCCCTATGATACCCGAAACAGTTGGATTCATATAAGGAACCCTAATATAGGGCCAAGGCTTCTTAATCAGTCTTAATCAGGTTCCTACATTGGCCTTGAGAGCTCTGCAATTCCCAAAGACCGCAAGTGCTTGACCCAGCTAGCGCTGAAAACGACCACGACCGCAAAACGGCGCGACGAAGCACCAGAATTGCAAACCACCAACCAGTCCGATTTGGAAAAGGTTTGTGGATTTGGAACGCTAAAGCCTCAGCCCTCGGCGGGCGTCGAGGAACTGTTGACAACCAAGAGGCGGGCTTCGAGGTGTTCCGGGCTGCAAATTGGGGGGCCCAGGGTTGAGGGCGAGGAGGTTGTCTTCGAGCTCTTCGAAAATCAAGTCGTCTAAGACTTCGGGAGCATTGAGGCCCTAAAGCCTAAACCCCAAAAGCTCTTCGAGTTCCTCGTGCTGAAATCGTCGTATTGGTACGAGTACCAGAAGTTCGAATAGTCTGACAATATGCAGAGTTCAGGACTTCGGACATGTGGCTTGAGCTGACGCCCCTGATTGCCAGATGATGAAGAAGAAGATGATGAGGATGATTAGGAGGAGGAGGAGGATGGTGGCTATGATGATTTGGAGATACTGGCGATGATACCCATCATGGTGGTCGTGGTGATGCTGCTGATGTTGATGATGTTGATGACGATGATGGTGATCATGCCGATGGTGATGACGGAGTTTTTTAGTTGCAATGATGATACTGACCCTTCTGAACATCATGATGATGATGGTGGCGTTTCTTCATGACGCAGTGACAAGGGCTATGATGTTGATGGTAATCGTGGAGAACCAGCCATGGTGATGTTGGCAAGCATGACGGTGGCGTGTATCAGGAGGCAGAGGACGACGACTAGGCTTAGGACGGCCTGCCTGTTGCTGCTTTTGGCGCTTCCCGTGGTGAGAGTGGTGATGACGATGACCGCAGGCATGGGAGCAATGATACTAGCAGTAGCAATGATGGCATAGTAGTCGTAGTGGTGATAGCAAAGTTGATTCTGCCAATCGCCAGAACAGCCATGTCCATGCTCATATGATGTTCAGTCCCGCACCATCGCCTTGCAAAAAGCAAGCTGTGAATGCATCCTGGTCAAACTAAAGCCCCAATCCATGGGTTCCGTACCCTAAACCCTAAACCCTATCCCTAAACCCTAAACCCTAAACCCTAAACCCCTAAACCCTACCCTAAAACCCTATCCCTAAACCCTAAACCCTAAACCCTAAACCCCTAAACCCTACCCTAAAACCCTATCCCTAAACCCTACAAGAGGTCAGAGCCCTATGGGCCGAAGAAGCCTAAAACCGAAGCCGGAGCCGTGGAATGCCCCAGACACGGCACGCCTTGTGGGAAACCTCTGGGCGTGAGCAACCCTTGAATCGGACGCCCAAAGAAGCGATAGTGTAGTTTTCCTAAACTCTCAAGTTGTGCCTCCTTGGGCTCGGAAGCCCTAAAAGCCATAGTGTAATGTTTCTGAACTCTCAAGTTGTGCCGTCTTGGCAGGGTGAAGAGATCAAAGAAATGGACGACTTGACCATGGTCCTGTTCCGCAACCTGGCCGATGCAGCGCTTGCGACGGCTGTAGTGTCTTGCATGTGGGTGGTTGTCAAAATTAGGGTCCCTTTTTGGGGTACCCTACATATTAGGTGCCGTATCATAATACGGATCCAAAAAGGGACCCTAATTTTGACAACCACCCATGTGTCTGCATCGAGTTCTTGCGTTGAGATACTCCCATACTGATTGTCGTCCAACCTGCACCCGATGCCCACGTTTTCCGCCCTGAGCCCTAAACCCTAAACCCTGAACCTTAAACCCTAAGCCCTAAACCCTGAACCCTGAACCGAAGACCACACGCAACCTAAACCAAAAGCTCAGGCATGCTGCTGCACCACCCTTCGGGCATCAGGCTCTGCCGGCCGGGGCCTTGCGCGCTTGATCGCCTCGTTGGGGGTTATCTGAAGCTACTATAGGGGCCTTAATAATTACCCATACTATATTTGGGGCTCCCTATTGTAATTATCGTATAATGCGCCCCAAAACCCTATTCTAATTATCAAGGGCCCCTAGAGTATGAAGATGTGGTTGGGACCATCCAGATCCTGTTCCTCCGGCCGTAAACCTTCAGTCTGCCAAGATCCTACCGTAAGCGAGCCTCATTGCAGGACTGTATAATCATATATATACATATATGTATAAGAATTATGGGAGTATTCTGGACAACGACAGCAGCATCGTCGGGTTCGTAGCATCTTCAGCGCCATGTACCACGACCGCTGCTGCTGCTGCTGCTGCTGCTGCTGCTGCTGCTGCTCGCTGTGCTGTTCTTCGCAGTGTAAGCAGTTGTCCGAGTCTTCACCACCTCCATCATCAGCATCGCCCCGTCACTGTCATCTTCATCGTCGCAGTAGGTGGCGTGGTTGCAGTGAAAGTAGTTTAGTGGTAGAAGCAGAGTTATTGTGTCTGCGCAGTCGGTCGATCGCAGTCACAAGCAGTGCAGCAACGGTGGCCATAAAACTGGATTCGCTTGCCAACAATCAGTAGCAATGACGCATTGGCAAGGCAAGAAAACACGCAAGACTGACTACGAGCAACCTGTAGTGGCTGAGCCGTTGTGTTTCCGTAGGACGTTCCCTGCGTGCCCGAGGATGAAGCAGATGATCAAACATGAGTTCCAAAGGAAGCTCTCTGAGATGGCATTTCAGGCCCTGCTGGATCCACGGGATAGGGTTGAAGGTTTGGGGTTACGTGTCTTGTTGTTGTCGCCGTCTTAGCCGTGCGGCATGTCGCCGCGGTTATGGTGCTTGCTGCTGTTGTTGTGAAGCTGCTGCTGTTGCAGCTGCAGGAGGAGGACGAGTAGCAACAGTTGTAGCTTTTGTAGCTGGGGTTGTGATTGTTGGTTGCAGTGGTGTTTGTGTTGTTTGGTGTTTGCGTTGTTTTCTGTTGTTGTTGCCGCTACTGGTGTTGTAGTTGCTGTTGTCCTGATGCTGCGGTTGTTGGTGCTGCTGGTCTTGCAGCTTGTTGGTCGTTGGTTGTGGCGATGGAGGTTGCGGTAGTGGCGGCGGCGGTGGGGGTGTTGGTGGCTTTCAGAGATTGACGGCAAGAACAGCACAGCACTAACAGCGATAGAGGCAAGAATGCCTGCGGACGCGGTAACCTGTACAAGTCCTACTAAAGCGCTAGAGGATGCTGGAGTAGCGGGACTAGCTGCAGCAGCAGCAGCAGCATCAGCAGCATGCTGCAGTAGTACCGACACGATCGTCATCGCCATCATCATGAGCATCATGAACATCAACGTCATCACCTTCATCAGATGGATCGCGGCCAAAGCAGCAACGACGCCAAGACTAGTGGAAACAGGAAGCAGGAGCCGAGTCAATAGCAAGAGCGCACAAAGCATAAGCGGACGAAGCCCTTTGAGCCGAAACCTGAAGCCCGAAAAACACAACCCTCAGTCCCGACGCCAAGTTCATGATTCTCATGTATACCAACTCTTAAGGGAGAGTCGACAACCCTCGAACCCAGAAGCCTTGACGGCTCTGCACTTCCAGCACCAGTTCCCTCTTTTCGGCCTTCCCAGAGACTCCAATATCCCATAATTAAGGACTATACCTTAAATTAGAGTAGGATCCCTAATATGATTTAAGGCATATTCTTCATCAATTATATAAGGGATATTGGAGTCTGTGGGTTCCCTGCCTGACGACTCTCCCCCGCCTTGCAGTGTACAAAGCTTATCGAGCTCTTCAACCAAGAGCCTCTCAATGAAACCTTTGTCCTGGACACCGAAAATGATGGAAAGCCCTGGGCCCAGCTGCTCGTGTTTGGGCTACGGTCTCGGGTCCTTATGCTTAAACCCTGAGTTCGGCTTGCTGTCAACCAGGGGCCGTTAATGACGGAAGCGCGCCGTCCTTTTAACGCCTAGAATTGAAATCGGTTGCGTAGACCTCTGACTAATTTAACAAGCCACCCTTCTTCAAGATTTTCTCACTAAACTCCAGAATTCGAAAGTCTCAGGCCTCTACTGGTCTTGGTTTACAGGTACCACAAGGAATGCAAACCGTGTACTACGTATCATCCCTACCATGGTAACTTAAAGTCGAGTTCCGGATAGTCTCCGGGTAAAAGGTGCTGGGCTTCAGGAGTTTACCGCAGCGCTTCGAGGGTAGCGACATCCACCCGGCCATTTTTCAGGGAGTAGCAAAGCGTTGTTTTAACTGCTAATTTCTGGCTTCAGCGAAGGTCGAAGAAGTGAATCTGACTAGGAAGTGGCTTCCGAAGTGGATTCAGAAGTGAGTCTTTAAGGGATCCCTCTGACTCAGGCTTTGGAGTCCAGATAGCCCAGCTTCGGGAGGTCGAAAATAGAAAGAGGGAAGGTGTTTAGTCCCTAAATGCTGGGGGAAACGCGACCAGTTACACTCTTGGAAAAGAGTGTCACAAGGAATGGAGCGTTTTGGGTGCGAAATGCGTGAAGATTTCAACAGGATTGGCTGAACAAATGGAACACACCACCAACACAAGCAGTAACACACTCACGTGCACATGCTGCAACTCATCCCGAGCTTAAAAGAGCAAGGAAGCAGGCACTCTGGATTTTTTTCGGAGGTTGTTTTCATGTGCTGGTCCCCCTCTTAGCACCTCCGAGGGGTCGAGGGTGTGGCTTCAGATTTCTATTTAAGGATTTTCTTCGCTCTTGCCTCGGTACAAATACATTGCACCGAGTATATGTTGGGCCGTTTGTGTGCATTCCATGTGTGCCCTTCCTGTATATCCATCCCTACCCACCTAGTGTGTAGTAGTGTAGTATATACCGTGATTCTGCAAACTTGTTTCGATCCCCTCAGCTTACTGACCATGCTCAGTAAAGACCTTCTTGGGTGAACAGCCTTCCAGAATCAACAAAAGCTCTCAACAAAGGGTTCACGTAACCCATTGATTGCCCTAGTCCATCCTCTGCATACGGAGCCCTCGACCCAGGTCAATCTACGTCCGTCTGGGCAACCCAGAGACGTTTACGGATCACGTCAAACGTTCCTTGGCTTGGCAAAACCAGTTTAGGAGTTGAGGAATTAGAGTCTAGGGCCGGATCAATGGATTCTCCCGACTTTACACCTGACACCCGTGGCTCAACCCCACTGTGCTGCCGACAAGCCCCAATTCGGGCACAATAAAACATTTGAAGGGGCATGCGACGCTTGTTCCCGTATACGAATTATAAGTAAAATAACGTATAATATGATATCACTGTTTACATACATATAGACACTGTATATACATATGTATGCATGTATGTATCTACGTATGTATGTATGCATGTCTGTCTGTATGTATATATGTGTCTGTGTATGTACGTACGCACGTACGTATGTTGGTACGTATGTATATACAAATGCCAATTCACGAACAAGCTGTGCGTAGCCCCAGCTTCTGAAACCGGGCCTGTCACCAAGATCACTGGAAACAGATCCCATCCTGAAAGCATGAAAATCCGTGCAGAGCCGTTAAGGTATCTATGCCATGGCAAACACTGCTGAAGCGAAGCAGGCACATTCGGAAACGTTTTACATAGGGTTCGATGTTGAGGGTTTCCTAAAGTCCTAAAGACTGAGTATTGGCCTTCAATGCTTTGCAGCTGCCTCAGGCGATGCACGCGCTCTCTTTTGTTTGTGTCTGTGCAGGGTCAGCGTTCAGGAGTCTTGGTTCGTGTTGAAGGGTTGGTAGTTGGTTCGGTCTGGTGCTTGTGCGCCCGGTGAGCTTGGTCAGATTAATATCGATGTTTTCGGGATGCGGGCTACTTATGATGCTTCCTCCTTATAGCGGCTTGATACATGCCTTCGGCGGCCTTTGAGTGGAGCTTGTCTTGACATTTCGCCGCTCTGTCTTGATGTCCAGATGTTTGGAAAATTGATTTTCATGTCCTTATAGATCCCTTAGAGGAATCCTTATAGGAACCCTTAAAGGAACCCTAAACCCCTATAGGAACCAGCATCGAACTAGACGGCACGATGATGCATTTGTGTGTTGAAGGCTTCAGACATGTGGGAGTTTCCGAAAATGGGGGACCCTAATAGAGTGCCCTAAGTAGTAGGATCCCGATTATAAGGACCCCAAAATAAGGTAGCCCTCATTTTCGCTCCCATGTGGGTTTGGCGTTTAAGGTCAAGGCTCTGGTTTTAGACTTTAGGCTTTCAGCCGCAGCTTTTTGGGCAATAGCTCTCGGGTGACGCCTCAAAGTGCAGGTTTGGGTCTTGAGGTTTGGGGTCTCGGATGTCAGGGCTCCGTGCACAGATTAAGGCTCTGGGTTTCAGGCTTGCGTGACGCCAGACTGTGGCTGGTCTTGGATCTCATGCTTTCAAGGCTGCCCAGAATCTTTCTTGGCGTTCTTCTGGTTGGGTCTTAGGACTTTAACTTATTGGGTTTCTATATGAACCACAATGAGGAGGCTAAAAGTTTAACTTCTAGGAGGGGTTCAGGAGACAGCCAAGCTTTACTATAGATCCATACTATGATCCATACTATGATAACTTAAGGCTAAGTTCCCGCAGAGAACCCAGGAAAGCCCAAAATCTGAGCCAGGCCTTGCCTGGAATTCCCCAGCAAGCCTAGGAAGAGGGAGGCGCGGGGAGGGTTTACGGCTTGAGGATTTAGGGGTTTAGGGTTCCTTAAGGGGTCCTTTAAGGGGTTCCTTCAAGGGTTTGTAGGGGTTTAGGGGTTTAGGGCTTAGGGCTTTAGGGGCCCAAACCGCGCATGGGTTTAGAGCCTAGGGCAAAGTCTTGGCGTCTTTGATCTCACTTGACCTTCAAAATTCCAAGGGTATTTAAAAGGAGGGACCCTTAATAAGGACCCCTAGGTATATACCCTTAATATAGCGTATACCCATTATATAGCCCATTACAGGGTAGGGGTCCCCATTAAGGGTCCCTCCTCTTCCCCTTTGAAGAATGTAGGTTCTTTGTGGGGAGTACCTGCGCTGCCTGCCTAGCCCTAGACTCCCAAACCCCGAACCCCAAGCCTGTTCTGTTCTGTGCACAGAAAGGCGGAGTCCAGAGCTCAAGACGGTTTGGGGTTTAGGGTTTGTCGATCTCGGTTTTTAGCGCAACGGAAGTGCGTTGCTTGGTTTCCTACTGGAAATCGCAGTGGCATTACACGGATTCAGGTGAAGAACGTGTCCCAAACTAGTGGTGAATGGATGCTCCCGAGTTGGTCTGCCTAGAAGACCCCAGAGACTCCAATACCCCTTAAATAAGGAATATTCCTCAAATCATATTAAGGATCCTACTATAATTTAAGGTATATTCCTTAATTCAGGGGTATTGGAGCCTCTGGGACAAGCCCCTGAGTCATCCCCGGACCAAACGACGCCGCAGCCCCAAAGTTCTGTGCTATACGGGCGTAAGCAGTTACCAACAGTATTCTTATTATATTTGTAGTATAATGGGCCCAAAACCCCATTATTTTGTTTATAGTATAATGGGCCCCAAAACCCCATTATTCTGTTTATAGAAAAATGGGCCCCAAAACCCCATTCTAATTTTAACGCTACGCCGCCCGCCTCGGCTCTGTAGCGGCAGGGCGAGGCGGCAGTGGATGTTGTATACAGCATGCTAAGCGGGAGTGTCGGGGAGGGGGGGAGCCGGACAAGGGGGTGGCAAATGAGCGCAAAAAACGGGTGTCCCCAAACATTTGGACTGCAGGGAGGAGGATTAGGTGGAGGGTACCTGAGGTAACCACCAAGACGCCTGGGCCTGTAACCGGTTAAGGCCTTCCAGCCATGCCGCCCGGAGCAAGAAAAAACAACACAGAAAGAGCCTGAAAAGAAAGACAGGCAGTGGATTGACGACGCAAAAGCCAAAGCGGGGGCGAGGAAGACGAAACGAGGGCGGGGAGAAGAAGTGGGAGCAGGAAAGAGGGAAGAAAAAGGGGGGGGGAGGGGGGGGGAGGGGGGGGTGAAACCATAAACCTCTAAAGGGGTAGCTCTAACAGGTACCTACAGCAATGGCTGCATGCTCATACATATACATTCCGCTGCCCATTGGCTCACAGTGGTTTTACCATATTGAGACAAGACAAGCTCTCCTTGCGTAGCAAGACAAAACAACTACTGTCCGTGTGCAGGGCGCTGCCCTTTGATCCTTAGGGAATAAACTGGTCATACACCTCCTTACAAGGAGTATCCCTTGGGGGTGTATCGGCACAGTTTTCTGGTAGCGGAGCCCGGAAAGGGCCGCCCGCCTCACAAAGTCCGCTACAGCGGTCGGCCTCGCCGAACGCTTAACCAAGCGGATAAGAGGCAGCACAATGTCGAGCTCGCATAGCGAAGCCGACGGCAGTTCCCAGTCCTCCGGGGGATATGAGAACGAAGAGACCTCCCAAGGTCCAGCTACTTATGTCGCACAGTCATATGCAACATCTGACCGCATGCTTGCATCATTAGGCATAACGCCCAAGATCGCGCCTGCCTATGATGGCACCACCTCGTGGTTTGAGTATGAACAGTTGATTGACGACTGGTGCGACATAACAACGCTGGATGACACCAAAAGAGGTCCGTCTCTCAAGACGAGGCTCTCCGGATTGGCCGCAGTACAAAAAGAATCACTCAACCGAGAAAGGCTTGCAGCCCCAGATGGAGTAGATTACTTCAAAAAGAAGATGCGTCCATTTTTCGTGAAAGGAGAACAGTACGTTTTCCTGTGGCGTTTTCTCGGCCTATTCAAGGCATGGAAGGGCAACCAAGACTTTGTGACTTGGATTGCTAAGTTTGAGATCGTGCTACAGCGCGTGAGAAACTCATGGATGGATCTCTTACCAGAGATAATTCTGGAAGATGCCCATCCTGATTTCATGCAGGCTGTACAAGCAGATCAAACTTTCATGCGCCTACAGGATGCAACCGAGAGAGACACATACGCCGCACGTTTCTTCGAAACATGGAACAAGGAACGCCTTGATAATCATCGAAGAGCGTTTCCTCTAAATGATAATCTCCTAGCTCTCCTCTTCCTAGTGCAGTCCGACCTAAATGAGATGCAACGTGAGAGGTTGGTAACAGCATTGACCAACCAAGGTTACCGACTTGAGACCTACACGTACCCTATAGTACGGCAGACCATGTTCGATCAGTTCTCAACGACCAGAACTGGTCTGCAGGATCCCAATATTCGGCACACTTCTCACAAGAAGGACCGCCATGGAAGGAGAGATCAACGCCGCAAACGCGGAGGTCGAAACTTCCTCATCCTCGATCAGGGTGAATACGACGGAGTCGATGGATTCTGGCTCCAAGACGAAGACACCTTTGAGGAAGGCTTTCTTGCCGCCGAGGATGAAGAAGCTGTCTTCTGGACAGTTGACGACCATGAAGCCTTCGTTGCAAGGAGATTCAAAAAGGGAAGAAGACCAAGAATGCGTCCCGGATCACCGGGAAGAGCAAAGGGTGGCAAGCGAAAAGGACGTGGCCGTTTTAGGTCATACCGCGGAAAAGGGAGAGCCAACCAGGCAGAACATGATCCAACTGATTCCAGCTATTTCGGGAAAGGTAAAGGAAAAGAAAAAGGAAAAGGTGGAAAAGGCAAAGGAAAAGGAAAGGACAAAGGAGATAAAGGAAGCTCCTTCAAGGGTACAAAATCAAAAGGCAAAGGTAAGGATACAGCTAAGTCTGCCTCATTACAAGGAGACCAAACTGGATCTCCACAGGCCTATGAAAGTTCCACCGCACCGAGCTGGGATTCATGGTATGAGGACAGTTATTATACTGACTCCAGTTGGAATTATGCCGCTTATGACGATCAAACGTCTTATACATACTATGCGTCACAAGCCTCACGAAGAAAAACACGGAGAAAGAAGAGAAGAAATCAAGCAGGATCATCAGGTAGAGGAACAGATCCGAGCGCGCACCAAGAACCCGTGTTCAACTCATCAGTGAGTTACGTGCCCCAGGTCTCTGAACCATCCGAGGGGCAAGGTGTGGAGACTGCAACAGCAGTGTTTCCGTTGCAGCACACCGTACTATCTGCTCTCACAGAGCGGATCAATCTTGATAAGAGCCCTACCTTTGTCATACTTGACTCAGGTTGTACTAGGGCTATGGGTTCCCGCTATGCGGGGAACAGGCTTATCAAGGCCGTGAAGCAACGTGCCCCAGGGCATGATTGATTTCACTTTTTCACCTTCGAACACGAAGTTCTCTTTCGCAGATAGTGAAACAGCTCTTATCAAGGAGCGTGTAACTCTATGGCTTAACACAACTCCAAGAAGAGATACAACCATAGAAGTGTTGGATCAGGGAAGAGTCCCCATTTTGTTCTCCATTGAACAGATGAGAAATTTAAGAATGACTCTCGAGTGTAGTCCCACAGCTGACCTAGCAACGTGTGAAGCTTTCGGTTTGTATAAAACCCCTCTTCCGATTAGTACCAATAACCATTTGGTATTGGACCTTTTAGGCTTTACTTCCACCAGGAAGTACCTTCCTAAGTCAGGTACATCGTTCCGTGCGACGGAGACTGCTCTAGGAGCCAATAAGCCTTATGTTAGGATACCGGAAGGTCGCTGTCCAGCCTGTGACGGACAGAAAAAGGCTCACACGTACCTCAAGGGTTGTGACAGAGCACCTGAGGGAGCAGCTGATCCACCACCGAAGAGGATTTCAGGGAAAAGGAAGCCTCTTCCATCTGATCCGGCAGAATCATCTGCCAAGAGACTTGATCCACCAGAATCATCTGGAGATGTTCCTGAGCCTTCCGGACCATCGGAACCTTCATCAGGCTCTAGGGACAAACCTGCAGAACCTTCTGCACCGCATGAACCTCCAGAAGAAGAAAGACTTGAGGTTCCATCTGCGAAGATAAAGACTCCAAAGGGTCTTAAAAACCTTCTGAAGAAAACCCGCAAATATGCGGACAAACCTCCTGTTGAAGAAAAGTCTACAGTCCCAGGAGCTGATGACGGGACGGAGGTAAGACCACTTGAGTCAAGAGAATACCCGGCTCCTGGCACAGACTCACCAACAGGTGAAGAGATTGTCGCAGAACCTTCGCCATCTCTTCCAATTGCTCTTCGCAGGATTCATGAGAAGCTTAAGGACCCTGTAGAACTCTACAAGCTTCACCTTAAGCACCGTCATATGAGTACGGATCAGTTCAAGCGACGCACAAAAGCCTTAAAGATCCCAAAGGAGATCTACGAGCTATATGACCAACTGGTCAAAAAGTGTTCAGCCTGCCAGGAACATGTGAGAGCTCCTTCGAGAGCGAAGATTTCTGGTCTAAGATCAGAGACTTTCGGTGATCTCACTTTCGTAGATCACGGTGAGCTTCCAATTCCCGGCAAGGATAGTCGCTTAGTATTTCTTATTCTTTATGATGGAGCAACAAACTTGTTGACTGCCGAAGTAGTCCAGGATAAAGAAGAACATACTACAATGTCGATTATGAATGACTACTTTGAGAAATTTCAGATCAACCCCAAGGTTGTAGTTGGAGATCAAGCATTCATGACTCCAAAAATGGAGGCTTATTACAATCGGCAGAATATCAAGCCTGTGGCAACAGGACCTGGAACACCATGGCCCAACAGGGCCGAAGCTGCTGTAAGGTTGCTGA